ATGGGGGCGCTCCGCGCCCCCCCGCCTCTGTGGGTCGCACGCAGGGCCCGGGTACTCAGTGCCAAGGTGTTGGTGAGCAGCAGTTTCGGCTTCTGCAAAGCAGATGCCCTGATGTGCAGCGCAATGGTGTGCAAATAGGCCGGGACCCAAACCTGCCCCATGTGCTCAGCTGCGACGGAGGGCAGGGCAGGCACCCAGGTGCCCCTGTAGACCCCTGGACCATGCAGTCGCTCCCTGCTGCTGAAGCTGCAGCTGGGATGCCTCAGTTCCCTCCCGACCGGCTGCGCTGGGCATAGGCTCGCTGTGGAGCATGGGCTGCCCTCAGGGTCCCTTGTGTGTGAACGTTGGGGTGAGCGGGAGGAGAACCCAGCGCACCCGTGTGCCACTCTCTGCTACATGTGGTGAGTAGCCTGGCAGCCATGAGCTCCCATGGGAGCAGCTGTGGGGTGGCTGGATTCCCACCCATGCACTTCATCCTTGGCAAGCAAAATGCCCGCGGTAGCAGGCCAGAGCTTTCCTCCTAGATGGAAGTGAAAGGAACCCAGGTTCAGGCTCTGTCTGTCTTCTGAGAGAGCCCAACGCTGGCTCCATCCAACAAGTACTGGATTCCTCCACCATGGACTGCCCCACGCAGGGAGCAGGGGCTTCCTCCAGGGGCAATGCTGGCAGCCTCTCCTGCCCCTTGCTTGACCAGGCATGAGGCTGGACAGTACCTGGTTTCCTCTGCATGAGGTCTCCCTACTGCCACAGGACGCTAGAGCCCATGGAGGGCGCCTGACACCAGCCACCCGTGCTGGCGCCGAGGCTCAGGAGCTCAGCCTGGTGCCCCTTGCACCTGGGGGACATTAGTGTTTCAAGGCTGGAGGATTAAGCAGTGGCAGCAGCTGCTGCTGGAAGCAGCACAGAACAAAATCATTAAGGACAAGGAGCAGGAAACACTCCCCTGCCTCCTGTGCCAGAAGGTGCCATGGGTCTCCCCAGCTTCCGAGGGAAGAGGAGCACCAAGTGCTGCACCAGCACCTGGGGAGGAGGAGAACTCATCACAGCCCTCCTCCTCCTGCCGTGCAGTTCAACAGGTAACCAAAAGGAAGTTGGCCAAGCATCCCTAGCAGCAGCCCCCAGAACGTTAGAAAAGTGCCCTACTACCCCACGCCCTCTGCAAAAGTAACCACGAAGGACTGCCACATGAGTTATTCAATTTTGAGAAACTCAAGGGTGTCTTAGCCTGCCTCCTGTGCCCACATAACTCACTTTTAGAAAAGAGTACTCGCATATTTTCGAGAGCTGGGGCTGCAAGAAAAGCAGCAAATATCAAAAGAATTAGCCGCGCTTCATCCTATTCTGGAGGCAGGAAATCACCCGTCGGATGGACAGAGAGCAACACTTGAAGTAGGGCAGGCAGAATTTTCCGGTGCAACACTGAGCCCATTTATAGCAGAGCAGGGCTCGCTGCAAAGAGGTTCTGACGCAGAGACTGCCTCTTACAGCACAGCCTTTAAATAATGTGAAAACTGCCCACGTTACTTCATCAGACAACTCTGTGAAACACAGAAAAAGGGCTATTTAAAAAAAATAAAAGTCATCGGCAGCTTTCAAGTCAAAAGTGACCTGAGCACTGCTAGAAGTGAAGGATTCTGACTTGTGAGCTGTCCAATGCATGCAGGGCCAGAAGGTGCTTCGAGTGTGATCACGCCCCAGCGTTCACCCAAGTAAAACATTGCTCTTCCCCGCACGTGACTCCTTATCCAAGGAACTCCTTGCCTCACTCCTACCATAGCAGGCGCAATTTGCACAAATACCAACAGAGCCAGGCCTAAGTGGGACAGCTACCAACGCACCAGAAAGCTGGTGGGTGGCGCACACACTTCAGCAGAGCTGGGAGAGGGCACCTGGAAAAGCTCTGCCTCCTCAACGTGCTCAGGATCTGTCTGGTGTAGACTCTTATCTAGTTGAGAAAGCACGAGAGTCATCAGCATTTACTTTTAAAATAGTTTACTTCTGGTCTTAAAATATACATCAGTTTGAAAATTTCAGAAAAACAAAAAAACAAAAACCCACATTAGTTACAGATTAACAGTCTGGAGTTGGGACACTGGCAGTGGGGCCTGCTCACAGCGCGGAGGCGCCGCCACGCGCCGAGGGCTGCTGCTCCGCTCCGGCCTTCCCCTCAGAGCCCCGCGGGCAGCCGGGCACCGCAGGGCCGAGGGGCCTGCGGAGGCTGCGGGTGCTCCTTGCAGCCCTGCAGCGCCTCGTGGCGGTTTCAGTCTGCAGAGGAGGCCACCTCTGCCATGGGCACCAGCTGGTGGGTTTAGTCCCCCAAGCTGGCATGCCAGCAGCCAGAGGCGCAGGGAACACATGAGCCAAGGTGACACCCAGCAGCCACAAGCTGGTGGCCACCACATGTTAAAGCCCCCTCTAATGCTGCAGAAGAACGTAGGAGGAGAGCGGATGGGGAGAGCAGGCACGAGGATCCCACGTGTTGGACAGGACCCTGCAAGGTAAGAGGCGGCTTCTGCTCTCAGCAGCAGCCCGTTAGCCCAGGAATCAAGTGAAACAAACACTGTAGTGAAATACTGTAGTGAAACACCGAGGCCCACCTCTGCTCCTGAGCACGCAGCCCGCGCACAGCTGCCCGAGGTGGGGAACAGGGCGAGTGTGCAGGCAGCAGCTACAACCAAGGTACTAGAGCAGCCAACAGCGCCGCGCGAGCCGCCTGCAGCCCCTTTCCCAGCCGCAGGCCCTAGGCGAGGCCCTCGCTGCAGCCCTCAGGCCTTGCGGAGGGACGGGATTCACGGGAGGGGAGCCAGGCCCGGGCAGCTCGCAGCTCCTCCTTGCTGCCGCGTCCCCGCGAGAGCTCCCTCCCGATCAGGGGGCTGTGCCGAGCGAGCGGCGGGAAGACAAATCGAGCCCTACTCAACAGACAGCAGGATGGCAGGGTGCAAGGGGCGCACGGCCGGGGAGCGAGGCCAACGCCTGCCTCACGCCCCTGAGGGATGGAGGAGACACCAGCTGGACAAGGGCACGGGAGGAGGTTATAAACAGGACACTGGGCTTTGCAAGCCCCCCAGAAAATGCCTACGTCTACAAACCTTTCCCCTTCCCACCCCCCGCCATTAAGACACTGAGCACATGAGACTGAAGAGAAGTCACGCAAAAAATCACACTACACTAGGAAAAAAACATGCGGAGAGGCCCTACACAGACAGGGGGCCCCGGAGAGGAGCCAGAGCCAGCCTGGGACCCCCCGTAGACGGGGACGCGTAAAGGGAGGCAGGCAGAGGGCTGCTCCTGAGCCGTGAGGTAGCGCGTCTGCAGGGAGCAGCTCCTCCGCACGCTGCCTTCGCGGGCCCCGCAGGGAGCCCTGCCCAAAAACCCAGCCGTGTCCTTCCCCCCTTGCTCACCTGGGGCGAGATCTTGTTCCTGAGCGTGGGGGGATTTGCGGCAGGATGGGAGGCGGGAGCAGGGGGGCGCAGCTCAGAGCAGAGCCTCCTCAGCGTACCCGTAACGCGGGCAGCAGCGGGGCTGCCAACCGCTGCGCCTGTTTATGCAGGGCGGGGGAAAACAAAACAAAACCAAAAATACACCCCAAAACCAAAGGCTCGGAAAGAAGAAAGAAGCCCACCCAGGAGCAAAGGATCAGCACCGTTCAAACAAAACAACAGCACAGAGAGTGGGGGAAGGGGCGCGAGGGAGGAGACACGCAAACACAAACCTCAGCCCCCGACAGGCGACGCCGCGACCCCAGGAAGGGCACAGGCCTCCCCAAACCGCCCCAGCGAGGGAGGCACTGGCGCCCAGCACTGCAGCATGGGGATCCGGACACTGCTCCTGTGGGGCCAGCTGTGGAGCCTGGCACAGAGCCGGGCAGAGGGACCTGCAGAGGCAGCTCCTGGGGCAGAATCCCCCTTCAGCATCGGCCAGGAAAACGAAGCCCAGCAGGAGAATAAGACACCATCAAGAGCAGCCTGTCCCCAGTGCCCAAGTCATCCTATGGGAGGGTCCTTGTGTCCCGCTCGCGGCCCTGGGGGCTCCCAGGGAATCAGACGCCACCACATGAGCGCTCTGCCCTGTTGGCACGAGTTGAGAGAGCGCAGAGCAGCTGCGGGCAGCAGCGAGAGAGAGAGTCCAGGGCCTCAGGTACCTGAGTGGGCAGGGAGGGAGGAAAGATCAGAGCATAAGGAGGCAGAGGCACCAGGACGAGGGGGTACCGAGAGCGAGGTTGGGTACAGGCACCAGTGTGAGGCTGTGAGCAGAGCAGTGAGTGTGCCAGGGCAGCGGGCGTGCGTTTGCACGCCGCGTGTGCTAGTACTGCGGGTCTGCGGGCTGGGCAAGGAGGGTCCCAGCTCTTCCACGTCAGAAAAAGTATAAATAAAAATTTCAGAGCAGAGCCCTGAGCTCCCCTCGGCTGGAGGGCGTTGCGGGAGGTTGCTCCTTCGGGAGGTGGGCAGATGGCATCAACCCACAGCTCTGCACAACACGGCTGCTTCTTCCCCTGCCTCAGCTGAGAAGGTTCCCCTGCTCCTGCGCTTGTGTCAGACTGTCCTTGCGATGCAAGTGATGGACCCCCATCCTCTTGGGGCTGCGATGCGGCCGGCTGGAGGGAGGCTTGACCCGGCCTTCTCCACTCTCCTCTTGGATACACGCTGGAGTGCTCTCCTTGCTTCCCTGCAGCAGTATCTCCCTCTCCTCAGCAGGGCTCTCTGGCAGGCCGAGGTCCACGTAGTCCTTGTGCTTCTCTGGTGGGGGGCTCCCAGGCTCGGCAGCGACTCCACCGTTTCCCTGCAGCAACTTCTGGGCTTCATCCTGGGAGAAATCAGTGCCGTAGTCTGAGGAGAAATGGCTCCTGCGGGCCCTGGACTCGGTGCTGTCCGTGTCCACACTCGAGTCCCTGCTCACGGTCCAGCTGCAGCTCTGCGCCGACTCCTCGCCATCCGAGTAGGCCGAGGCTGCCCTGCCCAGCTCCTGCATGGAGCGGCTGAACCTCTTCTGGAGCTCGGGGGCCGTGTCCCGG